TTCCAGAGAGGAGATACCAAGGTGGTAGCAACTATAGGACTATTGTTCTAATTTCCCAGTCAAGTAAAGTGATGCTTAAGATGTTGCAACTAAGGCTTGTACCTTACATGGAGTGAGAAATGCCTAATGTTCAAGCTGGATTCCAAAAAGGAAGAGGCACTCACATTGGCTACTGGAGCACACCAAAGAATTTAGAAGAAAAACTGCTTTATAGACTACAGCAAGCGCTTTGATTGTGTGGATCACAAGAAGCTATGAAAGAAATGGGGGTGCGTCAGCACTTAATTGTCTTGATGTATAAGCTGTATTGGGGGCAAGAAGCTACTGTTAGCGCTGCGGGTTAAACCGCAGAAGCCTCTGTGCTGCAAGGTTGGAAGATCAGCAGTTGTAAGATCAAATCCATGCAATGGAGTGAGCTCCTGTCACTTGTCCCAGCTCCTGCCAAGCAAACCTAACCGTTAGAAAGCATGCAAATATGAGTAGATAACTAGGTACTACCATGGTGGGAAAGTAATGGCGTTCCGTGTCTAGTCGCGCTGGTCACATGGAAACTGTCTTTGGACAAACGACAGCTCTACAGCTTGGAAACGGAGATGAGCACTGTGCCCTAGAGTTCGACACAACTGGACTAAATGTCAAGGGGAACCTTTACCTTTTACCTAAGCTACTGTTAGAACAGAATTTGGAGAGACAGAATAGTTTCCTATAGACAAAGGTGTCAGAGAAGAGTGCATTTTATCTTGGACTCTAGTGGCACATCCTTATACTTCAGCTCAGGAACATATTGGCAACCAGTGAAGCTGAGGTTATGTTATGAGCTTTAGTGAATTATGGGCCTTTTATCATAATTCCCATAATTTATTAACATTCTGAATTACTGTATTCCAATGTACCTTTAACCCTGTAACTTCCTCAAATATTTTTAAATACTCTTTAATATTATTTATATAATCTATTGGATCCTCAATTGTTAACAATGTGTCATCTGCAAATAAATTGACCTTCATTTGGTTGGTGTTCCCTATTCCTTTTATTTTGGTATCCTCTCTAATTGCATTTGCTATTAGTTCTATTACTAAAATAAACAGTGTTTGTGATACCAGACATCCTTGTCTTGTTGCTCGGCCTAGCATTCTTTTTTCTGTCATTCCATCGTTTACAATAATTGTAGCTGCGTTTTTGGAGTATAGTTGCTGTATAGTGTTTTTAAAACATATACCAAACCATAATTATTTTATTAATATCTTTATAACTGTCCATCCCACTGAATTGAAGACCTTAAAAATATCCAATGTTAGTATACCTGCTTTTATATTTGTTTTAATTTAAAGAATTTCATTCATGCCGGCCTGTTTTGTGCAGACGTAAACTAAGAATTTGAATTGCAAATATATTGTAATGAATATAATTCATTATGTTGCAATATGAAAATATGAAAAGGGCATTTGTAGGTCTTATAGCACACTCTACTGGTGATCATCTGGCAAAGGTATTATATCCAGGACCCTTGATAGGGGTTTTTTTTGTTGGTCTCAGTGATTCCTTACCTTGAGTAACTCAGGTGTTCTTGGACTGCTTGTTGTTCTCAATGATTCCTGACCTTGAGTAACTCAGGTGTTCCTGGACTGCCATTCCTCTAAAGACTTCATCACTAGCTGTGCTGGCTGGGGTTTTTGGGATTTGTAGTCCAAGAACACCCGGATTACCCAAAGCTGGGAACCACTGGTATGGTCTTATAGTTTTAAACTACAACTGCTCCAGATCCTACAAAAATTGATAGTCAAAAAAATGAAAAACATAATAATGGCAGTTAACCAAATACTGTATGGAATTGCAGACTTCTAGAGCTGCAGGAACAACAGAGAATTCCATTGAAAAGTTTTCTTTGAAGAATTAGAATCCTGGACCACTAGAGTCTGCAGAGAAGAATGTTGACATTAAAGGAAGGACTAATAAGGATATAAATACTTGCCAGAAAAGATAAGCAGAGCAAAGAGCAAAGGACATCAGGAGAACGCCATTAGAGCAGAGAAAACTCTGCTGAGGGAGGGGTAAGAATTTTCTTTTATGCTGATGTGATTTCATAGTTGCTTGTGCTCTAGTATAGTTTTTTTACTTAAATGTTTTTAAGATATTAACCATTTATTAGCCACAAGCACAAGTATACTGTGTTTGCAAATGTGAAGTGAAATCAGAAAGTGAAATTGCAACTTACTGTTGGAATAAATAGATGCTGTTGTTTTGCCAGGTGCATCATATGTGTGCACAAATCCCAGATGAACACTAATAGATGTTGGGACGTATGTAATCAGAAGGGAATGATGTTCAGCATTTTGAAAAGAAGAAGAAAAACTGGCTAGTTATTCAAGCAACATATGAATAACTTACCCCTGTTAGCGAAGATAGGTGAGTAGGTGGAGATTTGCGTAGCCAAAACACTGTGGTTGAAAACTTGATTTGTTTGAATGGAAGGAATTCAGAAGCCAAAAATGGCTGTATTAGCCTCAGTTCCTTTCATCTATCTCTTCCCTGGCCAAGACTGATGCTGCCACCATCCAAACCATCTTTGGTATGGTGCACTTTCTTAATCTCTGACAGCAGAAATATCTCCATAGGCCCCTTGGATGGAGGTCCTATTTTTATCACTCTTCAAATCCTCTGAGTCATGCTCCATCCTGGGAGCTAGGAAAGAAAATGCTTCCAAACTTTAAAAGGAAGCAGCCAGGCATAGGGCATTGTCCTGATAGGATTCACCTCACTTAAGTTTCTATTTATATGGCCATACTCCAGCTGTGCCCAGGGGTGTATGTGCTTCTGATTACGGGAGAACAGCTGATGTCAACGGAAGCTTTTTATAAGACTGCTAGGTGTTTGCATGACCTGTGAAGGGATACTGTCTCAGCTGCAGAATAGGTCAGTGGTGCAATTTGGGGTTAGCTATAGAAACATTCAAGTGGGCTGGTCTATATCATGAAGTTGGGTCTGCACCTAAGACCAAGAATAAGATGGCATGCCATACAAGAAGCTAACCAGGCTGGCGCTTAAATCTTACTCTGACACTGGCAATGGGTTGCCTTCTTCTACCGCAGCTGAGAGTAGTCTGTGTGGTCAACACAAGTCTCTCCTCCAGAATTGTGGCACCACTGACCGTCCCTTAGGAGGTTCTCCATGGATATGTTTAGACAAAAGAGAACCACAGAGATGTGATTCTTTGATTCCTGAACAAGTGGCCTTGATAGCCAGATTGGCAGTATAGAAGTTGAATAGTTGAATGAATGAATGAATATCCATGGAGACAAGAAAAAGGAAATAATACTCTAGTTGCAAATTAAAAGAGAAGCCAGAATCTGTGTTTGTGTAATTTGCTATAGCTAATTAAACTGTTTGACAAGAGGTGAGGATAAGTTTTGGTCACTGAAGAAACAATGGTGTATCTGGCATGCAGCCTGGCCGCTTGCAAAAGGTGCAATTACCCAGAATGGCAACATTACAGAAGCACCAATGTGTCCACCCTTAAACAGTCAGATAGAAATTTCCTCAACTGGTTAAGATAATCGTGGCAAAAAAAGAGAAGCTATTTGTAGACGGGGAAAAAACAGTAAGCAATATTTATTCACTTACCAACATGAAGTAAACGAGGCAGCGCCACCGTATACCCATACAGCTGCTAGGAAGTCAGGCCACCAAATTTCAGCAAGTTTGAAGCAGGTACAGCTCTCAGGCTGCTGGTCAAATACAAACTGACCCTCCGTCCAGTCAAGGCAGCGTGCCCCTTGGCCCCTTTTATTTTTATAATTGTTTTTATATTGAGTTTGTAAATCCTCTAATGGATGGGTGCTGTGCCATAGGGATGGGCAACATGTGGGCCTCCAAATCTTGCTGGACTACATGTTCTATTATCCTTCACTGTTGGCTGCTGACTGACTGATGGGAGTTGCAGTCCAATAATATCTGGAGAGCCACACATTCCCTACACCTGTTAATCAGTGGTAAGAATCCAGTGCTTCATCTGCAGAAACATAACCCATGGAAATTCTTCAGCAGCAAAAAGGATGTTCAGTTTGCTCAATATTTGGTGGTGTTTCTGTGTGTTCTCATAAAGTATTAGATATCAGGGTTTTTCCCCCTTGTGGATTGACTCTGCTACATATGCCTTTTTATAATTCACTACTATGCCACTGTTGCTAACTGGATCAAGAACTATGTACAAATGTTTTTAATAACTCGATAAGGAAGAATATATGTCCTCCAATATTATTGATGTACAGTACTCAGTATGGTGACTGGATAGAGTGACAGACTAAGGAGACAAACTTTAATCCCAATCTGACCATGGGAAATCCCTGGAGGAATGGAACTTGAAAAACTACTCTTTAAATATCTCACTTACCTTGGAAGCCCTTTTAGGGTCATTTTAAGTTGGTTCTGACTCCATTGCACATAACTAGCTAACTAATATTACTGATCTACAACACCAGTGTTTTTCTATTTAAATAAAGAAACAAATACTTCATGCATTTCTCAGACACATTATGTGTATGCAGCAATGGCCAGTATTTCTAGGGTGCAATTATTTTAAAAAATGCTATAAGCAATGTGGAAGCACAGAGATGGCTGCCTCTTTTTCTGAACCGGGAGGTGTAAAGTCACCATTGAGCCCACCATTTAAGTTGAGTGCAGTCTCTTCCCCTCTGCACATGTGTATGTGTAACACCTAGAAAATACTGGGTATAGTCTAGTACAGTACAATCTTTTCCCAGTCTCGCACCCTGCAGATGTGCAGAGCCCCAGCTCCCATCAGCCAGATGAGCACATACATCATAATGGGGATTATAGTCAAACACATTTAGAGTAGGCCATATTAAGGAAGACTGTCTAATGTGTCCTTTGTAGTAAATGATGGCATGAGTGGGGGGAATGTGATCTGCAGCAACAGAAATGTAGACTGAAAAGTAATTGCAATTTCCAAAAATAAGGAGACAACATGGAAAGGGCAGAAATGTCAAAACTAAGGAATCATGTTTATTTTCTGTAGGGCAAAGACATTAAGGAATAAGGGCCCATCTTTGAACAGATGGGGCAGCCCTTTAAGGAAAGGGGTAATTATTGAGCTTACCAAAATTAATAGAAACAATAATCTGTGAGCTTGTGTGCTCAGGCACATATATTTTAATTTGAAATGACAAATGTAGCACAAGGAAAGAAGAAATAAAATGAAACAGAATAAATTAAGATTTTAAAATTGATGCAAGAGCATGCCTTGTTTTTATATACAGAGGCATATACCCTATGGTAATGGAGAAGCCCTCTTACAGGGCTTGTGGCACATGTATTTTCCAGGAAATCTGGGGCTGGAAGGGATGAGATGAGAATTCGTGCTGGATGGAATTTTTCCCCCAGGGAAGAACCTGGAAGGAAAGAACATAACAATTTTAATGGAACATAATGATAGGCTGGATGTCTTCAAACTGTTAATGGCTAAACTGGTAAATGTTTTTAATTAATTTCACATTGTAACTTCTGGCAGTGATTGGCTCAACTGACAAACTCAGCATAGACATTGTTACACACAGATTTGCATGACTCAGCATGCAACAAATAACATCTTTGCTTACTTTATACCTCACTTCATACCTTGACTCACCTCCATTTGAGTTATTCTTGCACCCATAACTAGTAGCATTTTGGGCAGAGCTTTATTGCGACTAATAGCCATTGTCCAGTTTGGCAGTAACATTGGTGATCAAACCAAATACGTTACAAAGAATAAATATTACATCTGGACGAGCCTCCAGTTGCTGGATGATTTATTTCTCCTCTCTAGTAGCAGGCACATGCATACCTTGGTATATATGATCTACTTGTGATCTTCATGCAAATTTGGATAAGTGATTGGGCAATAAGCCTCTTAATAATTAACCAATTAAAGTGGCAGGTTCTACATCTCCACCTAGTAGGAATAATGACTCCCTGTTAGTTTGTCTCTGATTCATGAACATTTTACACTCCAATCTTATATTGTTTCAAACCTATATTTCTTTTTCAATGTACATTTCAACAAAATAATTGGCCCAAACATTTAAAAAATACACATAATGTAATTGGAGAGATGAGTCCTACTGCAACAATGCTCGACTTTTACACTTCCTTGTTTATGCAACTGACAAGGATCTGACTAAGTTGAAAAAGGTAATATCAAACATCCCTTTATAGCAAGGTGTGGTTTAGTTACACTTAGTGTTGGTCATCACCTATAAAGCTCTATATAATTTGGGATCAGGGCATTAGGCTATTTGGAAGACTATTCTTCCATGAAGATCATGTGAGGCCCTTCTCTTGCTCCCACCACAGTTGTAAGCATATTTGATGGGAACACACAAGTGATTGCAACACACACACCATCTGGGTTGATTCAAATAAATGAATGAGAAAAAGAGACTCACTTTAAAGATTCCTTTTCAGCCAGACATAATATGCTTGACAAAAGCTGAGAACGATAAGAAAAGAAATTAGCAATAATATAAGCTCAAGCTTATATATAAGCTCAAACCTATCACAACATGATAGGTGGAGCTTGAAAATTTACTTTTTTTGTACTACAACTGTCAATATTCTCCAATTATCTAACATGACCATTGTCAATACTAGCTGGGGTTTTAGGAAATTGTAGTCCAGTGCATAATTTTGCAAAGCTTTAATCAGAGGTAATTGCCTTACTGAACAATGCGCTACCTATTTAGTCCTGAAGTTAAATCCCATTTCAATAGAGCATTGCTGAGTAATTAAGGAAACTTAATTATTTGCCACAAGGTCAGAGTTTAGGAAAGTTGATTTTTGGACTCTTAAGTTCCTAAATCCCTCAGCCAATTTTCATGAAAGTAGTAATGTTAAGAAAGGAATTTTTCCAAGGTCTTCAGCGGGTAACATAAATGAACCATCTTCTAGACCAGTGGTTCTTAATGTGGGCGATAATGCCCCCCAGGGGGCGATTTCATTTTTCAGGGGGGCGGTAGAACGAAAAGGGGCGGCGTGACCCTTCAAAATTCAATTCAGATAATCAAGACTACAGACAGCACCACAAAAATTAGAGGTGTTGGTTATGTAGAAAAGGGTCTTGAAGGGTATACCATTTTTCTTCAAAATTCGATTCAGATAATCAAGACAAAATTAGAGGTGTTGGTTATGAAGAAAAGGGTCTTGAAGGGTATACCATTTTAAATTATTGGAGATAGGTAGGAAAAGTGAGTTCTTTGGACTGTAAGCCCCTAAATCTCATAGGTAGCATGATCAGTTCGTCTATCTTACCTAGTGAACTGGGGAGCCATATGTAATTGCCATATAGAATAGCCTAAAAATAGTATTTTTAACAAAATAATTCCCAGAATTCTCCAGACGTCTATCAGAGTCCATGATGACTAGGAGATTCTGGGAAGCATACTAATATTTCCACACTCACTAACCTTTCCAAAGAGAAACAGCTGAGCAGGGTTACAACCCAGACCTCTTAAGTTCTACTCCATTGCTCTGTCCACTACACCAGACCGGGTATTTCAGCTATTCTATTCTATTTATTTATTTATTTAATTTATATGCCGCCCACACTACCCAGAGGTCTCTTCTATAGTCCTTTGCAAAATGGAGGGCAGACATTTCAAACATTCAGAAGGAAGTTCTGCCTACTTCTGTCCAGAAGAAGCACTTCCTGTATTCAGCTACTCTCACTTGTCAAGAATAATAGCTGTTGATAGAAGCAGGACCAGTTTGAACTTTTACTGATAATGAGTGAAAACCTTGAGAGGTTCTCAATTTTGGGGGATCTCATGTTTTGGACCTCACTTCCCAGAAGTCCCAGCCATGAAGGCTGGTGGTCAGGGATGTTAAAAACTGAAGTCCAAAAACATCTGCAGTTTGGAAGGGTGAGAGTGATTACTTTACAAAGAGTTCCAGTATTAAATAACTGGTGTATATGATGTCTGAATTTCCTGATGAGATTTTTATCACAAAAGGTAACGTTTATCTTACCTTCATAGTTGATACAACCATTGGCATCTTCCTGCCCCGCCATTAATTGTTCTACTTCACTTTCTGTCAGCTTCTCCCCTATGTTATGGAAATCAAACATCAAACATCAAGTCTTGGTGGGAGGTTTTCCCTTCCAGAACTGCCCTTCAGTATATTGAATAGATTAAAGTGCTTAGTCAGCATACTACCCTTCCCCAGCCAGATGTCCTCCAGATCTGTTGGCCTACAGCTCCCATCATCTCCAGCCACTTCCAAACCAGACCTTGGAAAGTCAACAATGGGTTGACTAAGCTTGTGGGGATGATGAGGTTTCTGGGCAAACATCTGGAAAACTTTAGGTTTGTGGGAAGCTACAGTCCAGATGGAGATACTTGGAAGCAACAGAAGTCTCCAAATATATTGTCATGGAATAAACAGTGCTTAATATAAAAGCTGTTTGTTGTATGGGGATTGGTATGGCTAGCTCATATTACCTGATGCAGAAGAACCTGTATCCATGAGTGAACAGGATTTGCCATAACTTAGGGTGCCAAAGAATGACCAGAGGATCTCTTAGGGGAAATAGATTCTCCACAAGTCCATTTAATTCAGGCAACAATGGTAGTAAGGATAAATGGAGGGGGAGGTTAAAATTGCAGTGCAGAACAGTAATACTTTCTCCCTTTATGTAAGCAGGATTTGAAAGTGTTCAGTTTTTATACAGTACTACAACTCTCAGAACCTCCCAGTAACCATAGCTAGGTCCTGGAGATGCAGTACAAAACAACATTTCCAGGCCCTGCATATAGGTTTGTCAGAACTATATGTCCCTAACTGGGACAGGAACGGTGGTGATGTTGTGTGTTATACTTAATAATGCTGCAAAAAGTAAAGGTGGTGTGAGATGTCCAAGAAATGCATCCTTCCCTTTAATGATGTGGTTTACAACCTTGGGTTCCCAGTTGTTCCTGGCTTACAACTCCCAGAAATCCTGGTTAGCACAACTAGTGGTGAAGGCTTCTGGGAGTTTTAGTTCAGGAACATATGGAGACCCAAGGTTGGGAACCATTGGTTTAATGTCAAATGGTTGAAGTGCTTTGGTTGCTTTGCTAGTGGAACCCTTTGGCACTGTAAGGCATTGGTCTTGCTTCAGCTAGAAGCAAAATCAAATATTGTCTCCCAAAGTGTTGCTTGATGTAGCACTACAAATTATGTCCCCTGGCCTAAAATCTCCCTAAGGTGGGTGTGGTTTAAGTACATGCTACATTTGGAGAAAAGCGCTGCTTAAGACAAACTAGTCGTATGTCAATAACGTGCAAAGGCTGAAGCTTTGACAAGTATAATACAGTTAGAAATGTTCTTCTTCCTTCTGTTCTTTATTTATTGCCCATCTATCCCAGCCTCCCTCCATTGAGCTCACAGAGGTGTGTGAAACTTTCCTCTGCCTCATGTTGTTCTCACAAGAACCTGGTGAAATAGATCAAGCTGAAAAAAGAACGTATGGCCTAAGGCTTTGATGGCACAGTGGTGAACACAAGTCCCTATCTAATATTCTGCTCACTATCCCATTGTGCTTCTCAGTAAATTCTCCTTTCTCCTAAAGGTCTGTGCTATGGCAAAGATTACTCTTTCCCTACCTAAAGTTGCCAGTACGTGGCGCAGCTCAGCTCCCATGACAGTGCCATTTCCTTCCTTGTCGAAGACACGCAGCCCTTCCACAAAGTCCTCGTAAGTCCCTTGATCCTTGCCTCGGGCAATATGCTGCAGCATGGGGATGAAGGTCTCAAAATCCAGCATCTTCGCATTCATTTCTGATGGTGGGGTGGGGGAAAAAAGAAGCAATGTGGTTTGGTGGCACTTGAACAAGTGATCAACTGGAGTGCACCCACTATCCCCCTTTTCTTCTCTCTTTCTCTGGGCTGCAGACAAGACTTCCTTGTTTCTTAAATAACAATTTCCTGAGACATTTGAACTGGGAATCAGTTTTTTTCCATAGAGCTTGGAAAAGTTAGCTGATTTCATCAACAAGTTTCAGAATTCCCTGAATTCTGGGAGATATGGTCTGAAAAAAGTAATTTCAGCAAGCCACATTCTTTACAAATGAGGATTGTAAACCAAAGGCTGGCCCAAAATGCTGCCTGCGCTGAAGGCCAACATGATCTTTTCCCTCTTAATTCCGTTTATCATACATAGCTTGAGACTGAGATGGTGTTTAAATGTACATGAAAGGAATCACTCTCCCCATTCCCTCTGAGAGTCAACCCTTCCATGTACATAAGCCAACTGGATCACAGTGGCAGTTGTATCTCGCTTCAGCACTGGGAGCATCTTCCAACATACCTGAGCGCAGAACTTGAAAATGTTACTTTTGGGAACTATAGCTGGCTGGGGAATTCTGGGAGCTGTAGTGAAAAAAGTAACATTTCCAACATGTGCTTAAGTGCAAAAGCTTAGCTTAAGGAACATAGGTTTTCCTGTATGATGCCCATAGCTCTGTGGCCTCCAGCAACTCAACACCACTGCCTGCTCTTCAAAATCAGCCGCCTTATGGCAGCTGCCTCACTCTACCACATGGTAGGGCTGGTCCTAGAGAAATATGTTCATTGCAAATATGATTTTAGGATTGACAATGGTCTCAGACCAAAGACTGGGCCTGTGGATGCATAATTCTAAGCTGCACAGGGGGCCTTGGTAAGGGATTTTTTTTAAAAAAATGATTATTGTGTATTCTTACCTTCTGGCTTTGGTTTCCCCAGCACCTTTAAGACCTCTGCATTGGTTGGGTTCTGTCCAAGGGCTCGCATGACATCTCCGCACTGACTGTATGTAATCTTCATCTCTCCTGTTGGGGTTCTGTCAAACAGCATGAAAGCCTCCTTGAACTCTGTGTGAACAAACCAATGTATTTATTTTATTGTTTCCCATCTTTCCTCCCAGGAGTTCAATATTTCATACATGGTTCTCGCCTCCCACCAGGATTTTTATTTTGAGAACAATTATCAGAGTTGATAGTGACTGCCCAACTGGGTTATCTTGTGGTCTATCTAGGAAAAACTGGTGCAAATTTATATTTTGCTGCTTCAGAGGGAAGGACCAATGGAAGTAAATGGCCAGCAAGTAGTAATAGGTGATTGCTACACATGTTTAGATTTTATATCATTTTACTTCAATGGATGCTCAATTTTTATGTATGCCACTCTTGAAATATTACAGTGGTGCCTCGCTAGACGATGACAATCCGTTCCACTGAAATCGCTGTCTAGCGACATCATTGTCTAGTGAAAAGCAAATTGTCATCTAGCGAAAATCGTTTTGCGAAGCAGGGACCAAACATTGTCCAGTGAAATTCCCCCATAGGAATCACTGTTTTGTGAATCGCTATAGCGATCGCAAAAAGTCAATGTCTAGCGAAAAAACTGTCATGCGAGGTAACTGTCTAGCGAGGCACCACTGTATTTGGGATCACGGTATAGTGTATATTTAAAAAAAAAGTGGTTGATCCTGTACTTTGTGGATGGTTGGACTCTTTTCCAATTTTGTGAATCTATTATAATATGATGTCTTTTTGTTTAAAATAATTGAATATTTTGGTTTCTTGGTTGTTAGTTTAAGTTAAATCTATTACTTCTTAGATTATTCCAAAGTAAATGCTTTCTGAATAACAAATGGTTTTGTTTTCTCTAAAGCACAGCTTGGAAGAATTAATTTTTTGACTGCAACTCCCTGTTCGGGACTAGAGATTATTTGTGAAGTTGTAGTTTAAAAAAGTCATTTTTCCAAGTTGTCCTGTTGGTTTCATACTGAACCCAGCTCACTTATTTTTGAATCACTTTGTTCCATGCGCTGAAAATCAGATGACAAAAGAAACCCATTTGTGAATTGAATGTGCATCCTATTATCTAGTGTAAAAATTAGATTTGCATTATAATTCCAGGAAATACAAAACAAGTAACCCTACTTTCCCCAAAATATACCAACAAAACATCAGCGGCAATGTAAGCAACGTTTATCTACAGGGTTGGTCTCTATCTAAAATCTTGAAAATTTTACTTTTTTTTGGTACATCTTTCAGAATGTTGAAGTAACATATTGAATTAACAACAAGTTATATTTCTAAGCTAACTGTGGGAAATTTACATTGAATGGGAGATTAGAAAATATTCCTCTTACGGTTATTGTAAATGGCCAGTTTAAGCACATTTTTTTAAAAAGAATGCCAATAACAGTATGTAGTTTGGTCCTCAAACACTCTCTCTACCTTCCTCACATTATTTAAATACAGATTGAAATCAATTGCTTTTCTTTACCTTCTGTCATGGGTATATCCCACATCTTGATGATGTGGGATTCCACTAGCTTCTCAGTCGGAGGCATATGGTTGTATATGTCCGACTGACATGGTCGAAGCTTTGTTTGCTTATTCGCACTCGTAAGATCTGTTGCTGCAGCTGGTTGGGTTAGGTTGTGGATCAGCCCTTCCAGCATGTCCATGTGCAATTTCAAGGCTGAGACTTTGCTATCAATAGCTTTCACTGCTTTCATGGTTTGGTCTGATTTTCTCTTGATTTCTAGCATTGCCTCTTTCACAGACACTTCTCCATTGGAGGAGGAGGCCAAGTGCTCAGTGTTGGTCTGTGACCCTGGAGACCTGGAGCTCCAAGTGGCATGCTTTTGAGTTCTATGGATATCCTTGGGCAGATGTCTCTGTGGGGCTGGTTTGTTGTGCAGCATGGTTACAGCTGCATGGTACAGGGAGGGGGCAGTAACACAGAGGGAAGTCACACATGACATCACAATGACTCTTTCTGTACCAAATGTATTTTTGCTTTGTGAGCTTCAGATGTGTGTAGGGTCCTGTCGGTGTACATCTCTCCACTCTATGAACTTCTTGTAAAAAGGAAACTCTCAACAGATTGGTTCCTATATTTGTGGTCTTTGGGAGATATTCTATAAAGAAGGAATGTGAAACCTCTGGGGAACGTGAACAGACCTCTTTTGTGGTCTGGATGACATTGGAGTACAGCTAGGCCCCTGATGACATTGGATTCCTGGACCAAATCCTGGGAGGAACTTCTCCAGCTGGTGCTTTGCTTGGAGACTCAGCTTTGTTCCTCCTCCCTCTTGTCCGGGCAGGAGAAGAAGGATCAAAGCACTATTGGCTGTCATTTACAGCTGCCGGTGGACTCTTAAGGTCAGGCCTAAACCATGCTCTGACCCATCCTGTGACACTTGTATAAACCATGCCTAACCTGAATAGTAGTGCCAGGCTTAGGGCAAAAAGAATGAAGAGAGAAATGGAAGTAACAAGAAAATGGAGGTGCTGGGCTAAATCCATCAGTCATAGTTAGGGTGCGGCCAGATGGCGTCTGATTGTAGTGAAAAGGGTTTCTGATCAGGGAACAATCTCCCTTAAAGCTTCCCTTTCATCTGTATAGGAATTGCTCCACCCTGACCCACAACAAGAGTAGCCATTCCTCTGGACACAAAGCAAAGTCAAGCTGGTTTGCAATCTCCTGTACATTGTGTGATCACTGGAAAATAGTTCACATAGGATCATCTGATCACACCCTTAGAATGGAGCCTTTATTTATTTACTTAACTTATGTGCCACTATTATCTTCAAGGACTCAAAAGTTTGCCCCATATTTTTTTCAGTGAACCTGTTCTGATTAAATCTGGATCCACCTTCTATATTGAAAAGTTTTAAAGTTTTAAAAATTAATGATTGTTTACCTTCAATCTGGTCAGAAGAGAATTCAATCTACAGGGGAAAGAAAAGGATAGCAATTAATTGTTTGGTTACTAAGTGCCTTGGAAATATACATGACCAAATATATATTCCAGGACTTTGAATGCATACTGTAATTAAATATGACTTGCTCATTTCGGATATGCCTGGAGTCTTTACAATTGCATGCGCAATGGAGTAACTACTTAATTCTGGATGAAGAAGCAACCTTTAGCCTCCTAGCTCCTTTAAATCATCCATCATCCTCTCTATCCAGATAATAAATAGTAAAAATATGGCATTTTCCCCAGATCATGTTTTCAGTGCATTCGAAAACTGGTTCTAATCAATGGATGGATTCATGGAAAGCTTGCATAGTAACTAGTCTGTTGCCGTTATGTGCCTTCAAGTTGGAACTGACTTACAGTGACCCTGATAGGGCTTTCAAGGCAAGTGAGATATGTAAGGAGTGGCTTTACCAGTTCCACACTGGAAAGCTGAAACAATGCAATTCAACTTTGCCACTACAGTATTTGATTTGCAGCCTGCATTATATCTGAAATTGTGGTTAGTGCGCACACAAGAGCTACAGATTGTTTTGGGAATTCACTGTTCATACTGAATGCAATGCAATTTGCATTCCAGCCCAGAGCCTCCCTGCTTTTCTTCTTTCCTCTGGTCCCGCATCTGCCAATCCTTCTGTCCTTTGGTCCTGCCACTGCTGATTTGACAGGGAACTGCAGGGGGTGTAAGTATAGGAAATAATAATTGTGATGACCCAGTAATAAGGTGATAGAGTGCTGCCCACCCCCAGCTAGTAGCTAGTAGCTCTACAGCTGGAGATCCAGTTTGAGCATGAATCAGAGCTGGGGCACATTTCCCTGTCTATTGTGAGACAGCTGGGAAATAGATTGCTTTGGACTGCTTCACAAGTGATCCAAAATGTGATGTTTTCTGGTGCACTCCTTAGTATACTCAGTGATTGTTCTGGCTCATTGCTCGGGTATATAAAAACTGGGGTGGGAGGGAGGAGAGGAACTGTGTCTCTGGAAGGAGATCATGACAGGTGTATCCTTCACAGCAGTATTGTATTTCAGGCGTCATTTGAGTAGCCTTGATTTCCAGTGCTGCTAATTGTACTGTATAGCTAAAAGAGTGTACATAATAAATAAGAGAGAGGGCACAAAGGCACAGCTGATTGTTGGGGGTGGACAGCAGAAGCACTTCACACTGAACAGTATGTCAGTCTCGCTTGTGAAAAGTGTGTTCCTTACCTTCTAGGGGCATCCGTGTTTGCTAATTGGCTTCTTTATTTCCATTCAGTCACAATGTGCCTCTAAGGACCTTACTCCATCCAAGGAGAGATGTGGTCAGTAACTGATCAAAACAGTAACCAGCTTATTGTTATCTCTCAAAAATTCCTTGCTGTGGGTCCCGCTGCTCTGGGCAAATTCACAGATTGTGTCAGAATGTGAACACACAGCAGTCCCTAAGCTTTTGAAGTGATGGGTCTTGTTCAAGGATTTAATCAGTTCACTGCCCCACATTCTAGCCAACTAAGGTAGCTACAAGTAGATCAACAGTGTAGCCTCTTAGCAGTAACAGGCCAATGTGAATCATGTAATTGTTACTTCCTGACCCAAATACAACACTTCAGCCTTGTTCACCAGCCTTTAGGACAGGGTGATAGTGCTGTTGTGTTTCTCCCAGTCTGATGTAGTACAATGGTTCCCGACCTTGGTTCTCTCTAGCTGTACTGGCCAGGATTTTTGGGAGTACTAGTTCAAGAACATCTGGGGACCCAAGGTTGGGAATCCGCACTGATGTAGTGGATGGAGTGAGGGACTAGGACGCAGGAGACTTGGACTCAAATTCCCACTTGGACATGGAAACTCAGAGGGGCAGTGGGAGGCAGTGGTAAAACCACTTTTTAAAGATCTTAGATACTTTGGAAACCCTAGTAGGATTACCGTAAGTCAAATCTATGTTCTGTGGAAGATTGACTTGAGGAAACATAATGAAGACAATTTCTTCTAGTACCTGCCTGTCATAGTCACTCCACAATTTGACAGGAGTCAGGCTTGACTACTGCCAATTTGAGGTTGACATGGACTAGAAGGGCTTACCCTGCCATTTGAGGGCAGGGTTAAGACCATGAGCTGTCCCTCAGTGTGCCAGGTTTTTCTTTGGCACAGTTGTCCTAGTGAGAGTGCAGGGGAATATTCTCCATGGGGAGGTAGGGATGCCTTGTTTTCCACTAAAGAAAAGTAGAAAATGGGATAGGAATGTAGCTCTTTGTAGTTTTGGTGTTGTCTGTTCATCCTGCCAGAAAAACATTCAGAAGACAGGTTAGCATCTAACGTAAAATGCTGAATTAGCTTGCCAGAGAAATGTCACAACAGGCATGTTACCTCCCTTTGGGAATCTGGTATTTCTGTAAGCGTGTGTTTCATTTCAAGGCATCCGCGGAAAGTCAAAGTGTCAAGTGGTGGAGCTCTTTCCCCTACTGAACTGGTGCTATTAATAACCCACTTCAGCACCAAGAGTCTATCTTGAAAGAATGTGACCATATCAAAGGGGAGGAATGGAAAACAGTTTCCTCCATGCTAGGTTGCCAGATAACGGGAGAGACAAAGGACTTGTGGAATTTGCTGTGTGAGTTATGTAGTGTAAGACAAATCATAGCAAGAAAGGTGATCAAACTTGGGAAAGCGGCTTGTTTGAGCTACAGCTCTCATGCTGGCAGGAGGCTCTTTAGGCTGAAGCTTAAAAAGAAATGATAATTTCTAAGTTCTGAAATATGGATTACTTTGCATTTATCAGACATCCATGAATGATACATCTATCATATTTAAAAAGATTTATCAATAGTTATTGTTAACGATAGCTAAATTGAAATTTTGTATTGAGAACCAGTATACTGTACTGCTGTGCATTTCTCTAGATGTGCACCAACCAAATTCAATAGGTTCAGTGATTCCAAACCAGATGTCCCGTGTTGTTCCTGCTTGTCATACAGGAGGTAATTTGGTAGGGGGAAAAAAAGATGAAAACCATAATCCAGCACTAACAAGGTCAACATACTCAGAGATTCAAAGCTAGACTTTAAAGAGTTAAAGATTCAAAGACCTGGAAATTGTCCATTTCGATTTCTCCTGCATCTTTTTTATCTCAAATTCTTTCCATCCTAATATGCGAACAAAGTAGCAAAACCTCCGAAAAACCCACTACAACCAAAGTAGCAAACATTGATGAATGTTCTGAAACAAGCTGAAAGAAAATCCTTCCTATTTGCACCTGCCAAATTCAGTAAGTTACAGCAGTACCTGTTATGAATTGAATACTATTATACCTGCTTCCCATATATGTGTTATTAGCAAAGCCTTTCCGGAAAATAAAAATGGAGCAAAATCGTGAGTTCTTTCTTTGGGTTAATTCTCATTTTAAAAAGTACTGAAATGGAATTCTTGCCTCTCTTCTCATGCTGGACTGCATAGACTACCCTGAATGATCCAGCATGGTTGTTTCAATCCTTCTGCTTCTCTTGTCTCAGGAACTTAATGCTGCTAGATCAAAGCAGATTCCCGTGCAAGATTCTCTTGCTCCTATGCAGGTTGGAAGATGGGGAAAATTTTCTGAAAATTAGCTATGTTAATCACTTTGGAGAGCCTTAGGTTAATGTTATAGAAAATTTTCTGAAAATTAGTCACTTTGGAGAGCCTTAGGTTAATGTTATACTTGAATGTTCCTGTGTTAAACTTGTAACTTATGGCCCAAGAATGTATAGATATCGTTAAAAAATGTGCAGATGTCTCAGAAACCTGTTCCATTCAGGTTTCTATGTAGAACGGTCTGCACTCTGCTGGTGTTCAATAGTGCACGAATGTACGTTTACGTGTCACTTTTTTTGGGCAGATAACACCGTGTTTTTTTTGCAGAAACTATAATACACTGCTGAACCACAAACCTAGCGTAAGATATTTTCACTTTGGAAAGATAAAATACTCTGGCTCAGAGAGAAAGTTAGATGGGTAAGTGCCTTTTAAGCTTTAAATGCCATTGAAGGTATGCACTTACTCTGCACAGAAATGGCGGTGATGGGGGGGGGGAGAGGATTGTACAAAGAGACAGACAAGAGCTGAATGTATTTGTGTAACTATGGTCCATCATTCCATTTCTTCTCTATGGCAAACTAGCTTTTGTGTGCTATTTCTCTTCTTTGTGCTTTCACTCTCACTCTCTCATTCTCTCTTCCCTGGGGCCAGCTATACCATTAGGCAAAGTCAGGCAGATGCTTCAGACAGGAGATGATGAAGGTGAAAAGCAATGCTGAAGTGATGGAAAGTCAAATGTGTGTGTGTGTTATGGACCTGTGTTACATGCCCCAAATCAGACTGTTGCCTTTGGATATGATGGAAGATGCTGTCCACGGATCATTGTTGAGGAAAGCTTCAACAGCCAGTGTGAGAGAGCAGAGGGACCATCCTGTCCTTTGCTTCAGGCAGCCAAATGACCTGGACAGGCTCCTTCCTATGATTGTGAGTAAAAGTGGTGGAGCTTTTCAGTGCAATGTCACACAGAATCTGAAGGTTGCCCTCATCAAACTTCAGGCTAGCTTGACACAACATGAAGCAATGGACAAGTCTCTATCCCTTTGCCTCATCTGCAATATTTAGCTCCTGGACATTGGTATGGTTTTTCTTAGAGGTGTGTCTCATGTATTGGGTCATTTGGAAGATATGCATTTGCAGCCATTTTCTGTGCAGTTCTCTACGGAAAGTTTCAATGCATCCTATTTAGAAAATTAAGCTATGTTAAGGGGACTTGTAGCTCAGAAGGTTCAAGCCCAGCTCTGGGTCAATTCAGAAAAGAAATGTTGCCCAAAGAGGTCCTTATAACCATTATTCCCTCTACAGGGAAATAAAAGCTTTCAGGGAAAGTACGGGGGTGTTGGGGAAGCAACGCTGGCTTTGTCAATTGCAGAACCTGCATCTCTTCCCACACTCACAAGCTCCCTAAATCCCGGTCTTCATTTTCATCATCTCCAAAATCTGCTTCCACCTCTCTTAGGTTAGCTGTACTTTATCTACCTGAGAGTAGCTTCCATGCAACAGAATGGGATTTACTTCTTAATGGTCATGTATACTGTATGTTTGCAAATCTTTTGCTCATGCCTCTTTCTGGTCACAAATTTTCACCTAAGCTGTTGCTTCTGTTTTTTTGTGGCCATCATTCCATTCATACTGCTTGGACCCATCTCAATGGTTCTTTGCTATGATAACATCTAGGCTGCATCATATGAGAAAACAGACAGAACTTTAGTGACTTCAGTAGTTATGTGGAAGAGCTTCAGCAGGTGTGTAGGTTGACATGCAAGCTACACTTCCTAAATCTTCCTCGGCTACAAAACAAATTAAAAGTGCAAGAGTCCTACCGTCATTTGCATCCACTCCTTATAACCACCACCTTTTATTCTCTTACACTAGGGAAAGACTATTTTTTGCCCCTTGCACAGAAATCTTTACTTACAGGAATGGTATAATTGGTAGAATCACCTTTGTAATTAATAACTGTTATATTGCAAAGAGAATACACACTTAGCATCTTTTGAAAGTCAGAAAGTTTTTAGCTCCTTTTTGTAAAATTGAAGACAAATATATATAAAAAATCCTCTTCTTACTGTTATCCCAGGCCCTGAAGGCTGTTTGAAACAAGGATTGCTGCTTTTGGTGTAAATGCTTTCTGTTCTAGTTACAACTTCCATTAATAGGCTGCCAGGATTTTCTATTGTTTCAAAAGCTTGCAGAATTAGGTTTTTAATGAAAGGAGACAATGGGACAAATGAAATGTATGCTGTGTGGGGTAGGGGTGGATTGAAACAATTCTCAAAATATATTCAGTTCTTTCTCCACCCTAAGAAAACCAGGGAAGGTGTATTAATATTTCACTCACTTCAGATTTAAGAGTGCAAGAGAAGTGTTAAGAAGTTTTATTTTGCCATCATTTGAAGGATCATATTTTTATCATTTTAGTCTACCTGATATGCTCAACATAGAGCTGAGGACATGCAAGCAGTAGAGCAAACTCACATGGAAGAATTTGTGTCTGTCAAGCACCTCAAATGTAGATGTTTTAAAATTTAGTTGCACAGGCAATGAGCTTCTGAGGAGGTCAGTTTGGGATCTTGCAGTACAGCCGCTGCAAGGCATGTTTAAATTGGAAGAGGACTTGGAAAGTGACCCAGCAAGCTGGGTTTTCACAAAGTTTTCATTTCTAATTGCCAATATTGTTATTTAATGGAGGAATTTCAAAGCAAACACTTTGTAGCCCATTAGGAAGAATTAGGAAAGGGGGGAGGAAAAGAGAGAAATGTATGACTAATGGAATCGCTGCCATGCCTCATAGAGGAATTTAGGGGCTTTTTTTTTTCCTAGTTGAAGAGTGTTCAAAATTGGGGATAGGGCCTGAGGGTTGAGTCTGCAAGCGTGGGGGGATGTGGGGTGTTGTGTGCACCTTGCTGTCCAACTTCACCTACCTCTGATTTAGAAGCAGCAGGCTGGTCAAGAGACACTGAGGTGTGGCGTGACATGCTGAAGGCCATTTGGCAATTCTGTGGCAGAGCGGAGTTTGCTCCTATCCCGGTCTCCAAGAAAGGCAAGAAATAGACAGTATTGTTTTTTTTCTTACTTACCTTCACACTCTTTGGGTCAAAGGCCGGTTCCTTGGGTGCTTCTGGAGCGGGAGCTGGTGCGGGTGCCGGAGCTGCCGCCGCCTTGGCAGCCTCCTTCTTGGGTTCAGGCTTTTTGGGGGCCATGCTGTGAGAGGAGTTGCCAGAGAGTTGGGGCAAGAGGACCCGAGAGAGGCAGCGGAGGAACAAAAGGCATCACTTTCTTCTGTGGCTTATATACTCGGCTGTGGGTCTCTCATCGGAGGGATGGGCACATGGCAAGAGCGGATGGCTGTTTACTATAAAAGGAAGGCACTCCAAGGAGAGCCGCCCCCACCCCTCCCACTCAGCAATTGTCCATTGTCATCAACACCATCGGGGCAAAGGCCTGGAATCATACCAGAGAATGGAAGTGGCTTTTGAGGCACCTGGGCGGGAAGATTTCAGATCTCACTGAATGAAAAGCCTTCTCTTTTCCCTCCCCCCCCCAACCCCCACGAAGGCCATGCTAGAGGGAAAAGAGTAAAGGCTTTGGTGGACAACCTGCCCCAATACTCAGGGGGGAACAAAGTGTGTCTTTTTATAGGCAAGCCTACGAACACAAATACTCTGGATTCCTTTTAAGCTCCAGATTTGTTACCGACACTTTCCCAGTGGAATAGTTGACTGCTGCTGGACTATTTGATTGGCAGATGCTCTTTCTTTTTAAACTATCTGACCCAACCGTAGGGCCTTAAGAGGCTGACTACACACCAGTTTAGACCACTAGTTGGAGTGCTGCAGAGACAGGCTGGTGAGCTTTCAAAAATGGTGATCGGATAACATGTTTGCTAGAGCATGCCAGTCTGCCCCTAGTGCGTTCCTTCCTGTCCCTTCCTGGCCCTCATCAAGAGGCTTCTACTATTTTTGCTGCAGGTAGCATCACTCTGGTTTGGAATAAACTTTGAACTGCAAAGCCCAAAGGGAACCTATGGATCATCAAGTCCAGCCCCTCTCAAGAAGGGGCAAGGGGGAATTGAACTCTCAACCTCTAGCTTCGCTGGCAGAGACCTACCTAAGCTGAATAGTTCCATTGCATTTGATTGGTGGAAACCAACCAAAGCAAGCCTACCGGTTTGAATATGCTAGTATTGTGAAATAGCTTGTAAGGGAGTCACTTCAGGATATAGGCAAATTAATCACTTCCCCTTCTTGGCAGAGGGTGGGTGAAATGATTTTTAAAAATGTATATAGACTATTGCACTGCAGGGGGTCTCCATTTTGCTTCTCCCCCACTCATCCTCTGTTTTCATGCTCACCCACTCTTTCTGACCATACATGGTACGTGGGAGTGTAATACACACAATTGATTAGCATCTGATCAGACTGAGAGTGTGACTACTTGGTCAAATACCACAGCATTTGCTCCACTTATAAAATGTGTGAATTCGAAGTATATTTTACTGAACAGATGATGCACAGGCTGAATTGAATTGGTCCTACCCTTTTTGCTCCCAAAGTAACTTTGCTGGTGGTGGTGGGGCTTCTACTTTTTCAAGCTGGAAATATTTGAACGGACTTTCCCCCACGCAGTTAGTTGTGATAAGTTCTTGTAAAGACAGCGGGCATGTCTGCAGGGGGTATTTCAGTGCTGTAGGCAGTTGGGGTGTGATGTTTAGGATGGGGGGGGAGGGACATGCAAAAGCTATGATTATGGTTTGTTATCAAACTACTATGTTTGTGAAAAAAATCACAGAAAAATAACATGGAAAGGTACTTCACAGTCTCAGAATTAGAGATGGACAAATATCTTCACACAGCATCACAGGTGCTGTGCAGAACCTCGTCCCACTCTCAGGCCAGCTGGCCCACTCCCCATTCTTTGTGCATCATTCCACAGGTGCTGTGCAGAACCTCGTCCCACAGGCTAGGTGGCCCACTCCCCATTCTTTGTGCATCATTGTGATCCTTCTAATCTAGTGGTGCACCAATCTGGGCAGGAGCCCAGGCTGCTTGTCTCCTCCTCCCTCATGCAGCAAGAGATAAAACAATTCTGGCATGTGTTACTTGAAAGTAAGGGAAAATAATAGCAGAGGGGAAGGAGAAGGTGGTGATGAATCCCTGTTACGGAATCATTCTTGCGTGTGAATTATTATGCATTTTGCAGAATTAGTCTTCAAATGTTTAGTACAATGTTCTGTACTATTATAATGTTAAATACATTTCCATGCTATTTTTCTATAGACAAGTTTTTAAAAAAATATATAGACTGAAGCTTTAAATGAGAAAGCAGCTTCACTACAAACCATGAATGGATCAGCAGAGGTGGTATCAGAGGGAGGAAAGGAGGGGTGCTATGGGCTGGAATGTGTCTCGCATTGTAAACAAGAATGTATGGTGAACACCCAATTCAATCCAGATGCCCTCGGTGGGCACTGATTACAGTGTAATACAGATGTAATATAGACTGTGAATCCAATGTAGTTGCACCCTGAGATAGCTTTTATTTAAAGCATTTGAATTTGCCATTAGTACTGAATTATGTTGTGTTTTCGATGCAAATGACTGGATGTAATTATACTGCATTGCGTTTAGAATTAGGGTGTATCCATACTATACAGTTCTAAAAGCTTGATTCCACTTTAACTATTGTGGCTTTGTCTATTGAATCCTGGCACCTGCATTATTAGACTTTTCTGCTAGAAGGCTCCAGTATGTTCCTCTGAACTACTGTGTTTTGGACTTACAGTGAACCTATGATCTCTAAAATATTATAGTATTTGCAGCCTTGATCAGGCCTTGCAGATTAAGGGCTGTGGCTTTCTTTATTGTCAGTCCATTTCATGTTCTGTCTCTCTTTCCTGTTGCCTTCAACTTTTACCAGCATCATTGTCTTTTCCAGTCATGTCTTCTCATGGTACATCAAATTATGGTAGTCTCAATTTAGTTCTTTTAGTTTATAGTGAGAGGTCAGGCCTGATTTGATTCAGAAGCCATTTATTTGTTTTCGTCATGGTCAAATAGCATCCACAAAGCTCGTCACTAACATCAAATTTCAAATTAATCATTTTTGCTCCTGTCACCTTTCTCTGCAAACCAACTTTCACATTTGTATATAATAACTGGGCATAGTCTGAAAGATCTTGACCTCCCACTGGTCCACCCCTGCAAGTCCCACCTCTGGCCCAGCTGCCCCTCATGCCAATTGGCTGTCTGGGAACGTTACATTATGGAAGCATTTTTTTGTTAGCATTTTAATAGATTCAATATCTTTTGCTTGAAATAGCTCCACAGCTATCTCATCTACTTCTCATTATTTATTTCTTCCAATTACTTTATGATCAGCTTCTACTTCACTTTCTAAAAAGATCAAAAGATTTCTCTTTGAAAAAATCTGTCTTCCTTCTGGCTGGCATAGTTCTTCCATCTTCTCTTTATTGTATCCTAATCAAACAATACATATCTGTATTGATTTCTCAGCATCCCTAAGCTTGGTGTAGTTTTCTTCTCCTTTACTTTCTGGATGTTATGGAAGAGATCTCTAGTTTTTCCTTTTATTTTGACATCCTCTTCTATTTCTTTGCCATTATTATAAGAGCTCTCTTTACTTAAGAGTCTGTCATTTTTGCTATTGCTTCTTATCTACTTTTGACAATTTAAAGACATCAACGTAATTTACCCACCAAGGTTTTTCTTTTCTGTTTGCTACCACTGATACGTCTGTTTTCAATTGACAGCTCTCCTGGTTCACAGTCAATTGAGTTTAGTATTTTAAATTTGTTCTTTATCTGCTTAAGAGTTTGTATTTTTTAAAATGCGCAAAGAAATGATCGGAAAAGAAGCTATGTTGGTCTGTCTCAGCATTTTGGCAAAAGAAAAGCAGGGGAAAGGCAAAATTGCAGCACTTTCAAGACAGGCAGTTGAGTTTCAGTGTGAGTTTTCATGGATCAAAAGTCACTTCTCTAGACACAGGAGTACAAATAAATGTCCTCTATATTCATTTTATGGTGGTGAGATTTATGTTTGGGTGAGGATACAGGCAACAGGGAAAATGACAATGGTTTGCAGAGGAGGGACTATCAAGCTGTTGTGCAAGATCCTGGCTAAAGTAATAAGGTAGGTAGACGTGACTGTCACAGGAATGCTAAGAATGGTTTATGTGACAGAGATCAGAGTGTGTCAAGGGTGACAACTATTTTATACCTATAAGACATTACAGAAAGTTGTGTTATTCATCTATGTATGGGCTAAGAAGCCTTGATCTCTGTTGAGGTGTGCTGAAACTTTCTTATGCTCCAGTGCATCAGTACACCCAGGCTGCTATATCAATGTATATCAACAACTGAGGAGCAGCTTTTTTGTAAAGGGAATGACTTTCAATTGCCTATTCAAAATTGTACTCCCTTGAACTACTTTATATTACAACAGGGAAAGCTTGCAACAATATACTGTCCTTGAGAAAATCCATGCCTCTCTCCATTATGGAAAGAATCACAGCTAAGCTTAGAGGGAACAAGCTAGGGATTGGACCTGGCAAGACCTGACTCTACTACACCCTATGGGACAGAACTCTTTGGGAGGCCTCCCAAACTACCGATCTGAGTCTGTTTCAAAGGTGAGGTGTAAACCTCCCTGTCTGGAGTCTTAGCATGGGTAGGTTTAATCAAGTTCAAAAATGGTTAGTAATTAAACATTGTTGTTGCCCAGAGGAAAAGGGCAGAACTTCAAAACATTACTATTCTGAACTATAAGTCTCAGAATTCTCCAGCTGTTATGGCCAGTGGATTTTTCAAAACCATGAATTTCAAAACTCTGGAACAGAGGGCAAATATTGCTTTGATTTAAACAAAGAAACAGACACCATGCTGCTCTTGTGTGTTATTTTTCTTTTTACACCCCCCTCACCTCCAAGTGATAATCCCCAGTGAACCTAGACGACAGCTGGAAAACTTCTCTGAATGGTTTTTGGCTGGCTTGGTCCTCAGCTGTGTCTGGCATCAGCTCCTGTTTGGCTTATCAGCACATTTTTTATCTCCATTGTCTGTAAGTGAGAGAATTGGGGTGTGTGTGTCAGAGGTTGATTGTATGATCTCCTGTGACAACAAACACTACTCGTTCACTCAGATTCCAGGAAGCAGGATTTCTAGTAGCTTGGACAAATATAAGGAAGAGCATGGGTATTTGGTTGCCTTTCCTAAGAGAAAAAGGGGAATTATGAAGCGAAAGTGGAAGTGCCACTG